TTTTTAGTGAGTTTATATCAGTATTTCCTTCTTTAAAGCTTTCATTAGCTCCTAAGAACATTTGCCGTAAAGTCCTACCTCAAGTTTCTCACACTTGCCTTTTTCCTGAACCTCACAGTATTCCAAATTAGACCCATTCTTATTTAACTCAACAATGATGTCAAAAAGTAATTGGCCTCTAAATACTATATTTCTGAAAGAATTCAATTTAATTTTGATATCTCAACAGACATTCTTTCCTATCATCACACCTTAGATAGCCCTGAGGCTATTTAAAGCCCAACTTGGATACAAAATGTTCTATGAATCTTGTCAAACAATGGCATGTACATGGGCAGTGTCTGACTAGTGCATACCTGCCTGACTTATGAACAAGGGATCCATAAATGCGCTGCTTGGAACCCTTATGGCTGTTATCCTGGTAGTGTAGTGGAGCGGGCACAGAAAAAAATCAAAGCAGCTTGCCAAGGAGGAGAAGGGGAAGACACTGAAAAACAGACATTGCAGAAAAGAGCTGAACTGTGGGACAGCCTGATTCACAAGCAGAGCCCATCTGCCTCTGAGGACCACAGAATGGCCCCAAATGGCCCCAAACCTCCAAAAATGTTTGTCTGGACTGCACAAGTCTTCACTACACTATATTTGAACTTGAGTTGAGCTTTTCCTAAAAGTTTTTTAAAGGAAACATCTTTAGGGGGTTCATTCATTCAGTACATATACTACATGCTGGGCAGTAAGGCATTGGAAACACAGCAATGAACAAAAGACATAAATAGTCTGATTTTAGTAGAGCTTACATTCTATTTTATTGAGACAGACTAAATGAGGTAACAGTCACTCACAATAAATAGTATGTATTAGTTTAAGAAGCTCTCTTCCTGAAGTCCACCACTCATTCTGAGAGGAGTGGAGTTAGTGTAAGGAGTGTTCGGAAGGTTAAGGTGCTTCTTCACTCCTTAGCTTGAAGTCACCAAAGGCCTGGGAAGAGACAGAGACAAACAGAGAAAAGAAGCTCTCAAAGTCAAGATCACCCACGTGATTTCCTTTTCTCTTTCTTTTTAAAATCAGATCTCAACCTGAATAACAACAGAGAGATACATTTAAAAAATTTCTTCCTGCATTCTTTTCTTGCCCCCAGAATCAAGAACTTAAACTACTACAGAGAAAAAGAAAAGAAACAGCTTCAGCTCATGCCTATAATCCTAGCTGTTCAGGAGGCAGAGATCAGGAGGATCACCGATTGAAGCCATTTCAGGCAAATAGTTCATGAGACCCTATCTAGAAAAGGCTCAGCACAAGACACAGGGCTGGTAGAGCTCTCACATGGTAGAGCTCCTGCCAAGTAAGCATGAAGCCCTGAGTTCAAACCCTACTGCAGCTTCATGTAATGACTGCTGGACTGCTGTTTAGACTCTGACAGACCTGGATTCAAATCCAGGACTACATTTTACTACTTTATAACCTTGGACAAGTTGCCATGGTTTGTGAATTTTTCACAAATTTGTAAAATAAAAATAGGTATATCTGCTTTGTAAATGTCAAATGCTTAGTGTCCTGATCCTAGCAGCTTATACAGTACAGCCTGGAAAACCTTACCACACAATTTAACACACTGAGTCTTTGGGGTAAAAGTGACTTTCTAAATTTAAAACCACTGACACTTTTTGGAATCCTGCTTCTTTACAAGTATAAATAACGACCCATAGTTCTAAATCCCTGTGTAGAGATTTAAAACACTTCATTTCAAAAAGAAGAAACCCTAAATGAGAGGGGAGGAAAACAAAAACTGTCAACATTCTTGATTCTTTAAAGCAATATAATTCTAAAAATTGAAGAAGTGAAAAAAGGACATAGCAAATAAGAACACCTTAAAGTTCAGTACTAAAAGGATCTTAATGTACCCAAAACATGATGTTGAAAGGAAAAAAGTGCTTAGCAGACAAGCTATATATATATCAACAGGAAGATAGGAGCTGGAGAAAATTTTTGACAAAACTAGTAAGTAGAAGTAACCTTATTAACCAGCATTTATTCTAAATGAAATGTTTTAAATGACAATAGGCAGTTTTTCAAGAATGCATAAACTAAGTCGGGCATCACTGTAATCCTAGCTACTCAGGAGGCAGAGATCAGGAGGATCCCGGTTCTAAGCCAGCCCAGGCAAATAGTTCACAAGACCCTATCTCAAAAAAACCCTTCACAAAAAAGGACTGGCAGAGTGGCTCAAGGTGAAGGCCCTGAGTTCAAACCCCAGCACTGCAAAAAAAAAAAAGAATGCTTAAACCATGTAAATCCTACTCCTTTTTTTTTTTTAATGGAACTAGAGTTTAAGCTAAGGATTTATGCTTGCAAAGCAGGCACTCTACCAACTTGAGTCTCACCTCCAGCCTATTTTGCTGTGGTTATTTTGGAGATGGTCTCTCCCAAATGATTTGCCCAGGCTGGCTTTGAACCTCAGTCCTCCTGATCTCAGCCTCCCAAGTAGTTGGAATTACAGACATGAGCCACCAGTGCCCAGCTCCCACTCCTACTCAAAGTTCTTTGGTTTAAAGACTTGAAACCATTGTTAATGTTTCCTAACCATTTATTAAGTATAACTCTAATTCCAATGAATAAATGTGCAAACATATACTACTTTAACTTTTTTGGTTAGGGAGAAACTTCAAGGTTTAACATGTGGTCTGTAAAAGCATGGTTGTAACTGTTAACTTGATAACTTTTTTCTGCTAGAATATACCTATACCTATTGAGTTCAGGGAAGACAACTTGAAAACTGTCTCTTAAATGAAGCGTGATTGCCTCCCTCAAGGAACGTGATAGCCTTGTTGATTGAAGAGACGAAAACCACCTTTAACCCTAACATTTTTCTCCATTTCCATTGTTCAGACCACGCTCCTGCCTTGCCCACAGTGCCTCAATGGCCTTTCTGCCTCTTCTCCTTACCTCCAGTTTTGCCCCTTCCAATATATTTTTCTAAACCTTAGCTGAAATGCAAATCTGATGTCACTGTTGTTTAAAACTTGCAAAGACTCCTTAAGAGTGACATTCATATTCCTTAATGAAATGTGAATACTCTCCCTCCCCTTATTGCTTATCTTTTCACCTGAACTCCTTCATATTAATGGGTCTCTGCTCAAGACCCAGTGAATTTCCTTTACTTAGTGTCCCTAAAGTACCACTCTTTCATGCTTTTAGGCCTTTTGCACACATTGAATCCTTTGCTACAGACTGTCCATATTCTCCCAAATCCTCCCCTGAATTTTCTTACCAAGTCCTCACTACTAATCCTCTAAGCTCCAGCTCAGACATTTTTTCTTTCTGGAGCCTATCTTGAACCACTACTCTGAGTCTGGACTCCCCTAATATTTCATAGTTCAATGCCATGATCAAGTCATTTGTTATCACTCTGCTTTTCCACTATATATCAGCTTGTTCTTGAGGAAAAGGCATCTGAGAGGATGCTTAAGAATCGATGTGGAGGCAGTGAATCTCACCTTGATACAGCTGAGTATATTGACCAAAACACTTTTAGAGGAAAGTAAGTATGTCAGAATTACTATGACCTCTTTGATTAGATGTTAGATTCTTCCTGAAAGAAAATGTTGAAATGTTTATCTAGCAGACTTTGTAAAATAGCTGCTGGCCTATGCTGATAACTTGTTGTAAGTATCAAAGTATGGTCCGCTCTAATCACTGCTCTGTTCTGAGGACGCTTGTCTTTCCAGCACCTGGTTATTGCATGCCTATGTGTGTCCAGCACTGGACACCTTCCTGCTCAAGAAGTGAAATTTTTGGAAAAATACAAACTTTTTATTGAGAGTTGGAACAGAACCTCTCCAGAAGTGCAATCTATGCAATAATATTTGCAGGCCAATTAATACATTTGTTGGAATTCTTAGTCACTGTGTATTTATTTGGAGGTGACTTTTCTATATTGGAGAATAAAGACACTAACCCACAATACTTCTCTATGCTAGAGAGCAGAAATTAGTACTCTTTGAAGTATTTAGGTCAGTCTTTATAGAGACTATAAAGGAATCTTGACATTTAATGGCTTAAAGGTGCTCAGTAAACTACTAAATTAGAATATAAGTTAAATTGTTTTTTTCATGTAAGACAGCATAAAAAGTAGACTGATGCTTTCTTGAAAACAGGAATCCTAATTGGAGATTCCTATTCAATTTCAGTATATCTGAAATGTTTATTTACCAAGTTCTAAATACCAGTCACTACTATATGTATGCAATTTGCAGTTTTAACTTACATTTATCTTAAACTACTTTGGAGTCAGCTGAATGCATGCTTTGCCACTCATTAGGAAATAGCAAGGTGAGCACTGGAGAATTATTTTAATGTCATAAACAAGGTCATACCCTGCTAGGTAACTAAAACTATGTTGTAACTTCAGAAAATAAAAATCATAGCTCAACTCTTCTAGAACCAGAGTTGTCATTTTTCATGTACTTCATTTTTAAACTAGTTTTTATAGCTCAGAACACCACACATCAAATATGCATGTATGTTTCCAAATTACTCTATTTATGTTGGAGGATATTGCTGCAAATTGAATGACTCTCTGGGTTTTGTTTGTTTATGGCTGATTGAGCATTTTCTTATACTGCTTACTTTTGCAGCTTTACTTAGCAGAAGAGAGGTTAGAAGTCTCTGCAGCCTTTTCTTCTGTTAACCCGAAATTGCTTTGCTTGACCAATAAAAAATATTTTGGGGGTCCTTTAGTATTTTTGAAAACATTTTATAAGAACATATCTTATTTATCTGAAGGAGAAAAGTTAAAAAGTAGGCATTTTTAACCTGTGATTTTTTAAAATAAGACAGGTCAAGAACTAAAAGAATAATTTTGTCTTCTCTGAGACATTGTAACCTCTCTCCTAAGACCCAAACTTACTTTCATTTAGTCCTTGTTTGTGTCTGTCAATATTTATTGATTTAAGCTCCACTTGTTTCCTTCTATCAATATGTTCCAACATTTTTTTTCTTAACCTAAGCATCTGTTTTGAGAAAACAAGGGCAAACGTGGAAAAAGAGATCTAATTTAGCAGTGTTTTTTTCTTTTTAAAGCATAGAGCTATGAAAGGAAGGAAACTGTTGACACAATACTTGTCAGATCTGGGTTCTGAATCCAACAATATCAGTCATTTGTGCTCCTTTATAACCTGTATTCTGCCACGTTCCACATTTCAGAGAGAAATTCTTTATAATGCAGGGTGTGTTTATGAGGGAATATTAGAAATCGTAAATTCTTCGAATAAGTTGGGAAGAGAAAGACAATTCAGAGATCTCCAACCTAGGTTTATTATCTGTGTAGGAAGGTGATATAGTTTCTACATAGCTTTTCCAAAAATAAACTTTACATTGAATATAGGCCATGGTCTCCTCCTTGTTCCTGCTTTCTGCAGTCCAGGCATTGTCGGAACGGAGGAGGGGCACTTCGATAGTTTATAAAATTTAAAGAGGATTCATTTGCTCATGATGCTGTCAGGGTAGCGGTGGGGGCGGGGGACAGAGTCTCCTTTCCCTGAGGCTTCGCATCGCCGCAGCTCCGTGCACGCTCACCTCCGCGGGACCCAGGAATTAGCTCACTGCCTGGAGCTAGGTGCGCGAGCTTGTTTTCGCCTGCCAGCATCGGGCCGCCCCCCGCCGCTCGGCGCCTGGGGGCCGGACTATGCGGCACCTTGGACTAGCATTGGTGGGTGCGTCCGCCAGGGCGGTGGAGTGACAGGCGCAGGGCGGGGCCTCGAGGCTTGTTTGTCGGCGCCGCCCCGCCCCTGCGGTCCGCGCTGTCTAAAGCGCTGCAGCGCGGAGACGCGGCTTGCCTCCTCGCGTGTCCGCCGTCCCCGCACCGACATGCGCCTGGCCACCGCGGCAAACGAGGCGTATACTGCCTCACTGGCCGTCTCGGAGCTGCTGGGCTGCAAGCAGTGCGGCGGGGGCCGCGGCCAGGACGAGGTACCGGGGTAGGGGCTGGTGGGCGGAGGGGCTGAGCGGAGGCAGGTCACGTCGCCCTCTGACTTCGCACCCAACAGCACCCGAAACCGCACCCGAAGGTAGCGGGGGCCGTGCGGGCCTGCCTGCGCGCCTCGGGGAGGGGGCGGCCTGCGGGGGCGGGGGAGCCCTGGGCCGAAAATCTGCTGAGCTCAGCGGGGCAGCTGTCTCGGTCATTTAAATGGAAGTCCCCGAAGCGTAAACAGCGTTGCCTTCGCTACAAGTCTCCGCAAGTCCGCGACCCGGCAAAGCTGCAGTCTTGGGTAAAACAGCCTGTGGATTTTTCCTCTAGCGGCTTGTCCAAACAGATTGTTGAGCCGCCTCACCCCGTTGCCTCGTACTGGAGAAGGAAAACGCTTTCGAGTCAGTTGAGAGATTGTTACCTAGATTAAACATACTCTGCGAGCACTGTGACGTTATGCACCGCGTCGCCCCTGGTTTATTGAACCACCCCTGTTGTGTCTGAATTGACCCTCAGAAATAACTAATTGTAACAGTTTGTATTTTTTTCTACGTGGTTGCGAAAAGGATGCCATTTGAAAGTTACTTAATATGACATTAGCTAAAATTTGAGCTTTTAAAAGGCTTCCATTCACAAGATGATAGGAAGAAAATAGTGAAATATTGAAATTTGAATTGAAATCAGAATGCTATATTGCCTTAAAGAAATCTAAATGCGAATAATTTCTCTGTAGCTTTGCTCATTAAAATGACTCAGGTTTAGTAATTATATTTTTTATAAATGGAGTTTATATTATCAGTACACTATATTCAAAAAAACTTAACCTCAAATACTTTTTACTAGATTTAATATTCACAGATACATTACCTGCTCCTTTTCACAGATAACAGAACCACCTTTAAAGATCCTTTATAGGGTCTGGGGCTCAGTGACAGAGCACCTGCTAATTAATGGGTTTGATCCCCAGCACCAAAACAAATTTTCTTAAATAAAAATCATAGTATTGCTCTGGAAGCTTTACCAAAGAGAGGAAACAGTATTAAAAGTGTGGAATTAGCATTTACAGTCTCGGTTGTGGATCATGAGAGATCCACAACCAAATGAGAAAAGAGATCTTTTCTCATTTTGAGTAGAAAAGAGCCCCAATTATTGTTCCTGAATAGCTCTGTTATTTCTGGTGGTGGTGTTTGTGTGCAGAATACTGGTTCTTGCCCCATCTAGAATTTCTAAATATAGCCTTGTAAACCAGAAGATGAAATAGATACATGTTAGCTTGTACATTGATTATAGTGCTTTGTGGGATTGTGTTTGGGAAACCAGGGTGTTTTGTATAGGTATATTTCATTTTTAATACATCCAACACGTGGGATTATAAATTAGGAATTAGTGCTTTATAGGAAAACTAGTCACTTTACAAAAGAATTAATAGCATAATTCTCTTAAATAGCAAGTTTCCAAAATGTTTTTGAATACTTTCCAGGAATGGAACTCATGAGCAAAGTGTAGGGCACACATAAGGCCTAAGTCAGACTTCCAGCCTTTTTTCCCCAGTGCTAGGGATCAAACCACCCAGAGACTGTGCATGCAAGGCAAGTGGTCTGCTCCTGAGCCACCTCCCCAGACCAAATATGATACTTTCAAGTCAGTAGGTTTTTGTTTCATTTTTCTAAAATATAGTTTATGGAACACATAAAAAGAAGTACCTAAACGTTCCAGGTTTCTAAATACCTTAATAGTGTAACTGACAATTTTAGATGTACTAGTACATTTTGCTGTAGGAGGGATATTTCTTTGTAACACTTCTATAGCTCTTCATTTCTTTTTAAATTTTTTTGAATGTCAAAAGGCAATGGTTTTCTCAGAGAAGAGAGAGTGTGATTTGGACTTTCACTTTTTTATAACATCATTACCTGGTTGAAATGTGTTTCAAAAAGGACACAGTGCTTTTGTAAGCTTTAAAAAATAGTTTGAGACAGAATCTTTCTGTGTAGCTCAGGCTGGTGTTGAACTCTCAGTCTTCCTGCTTCAGCCTCCCAATTGCTGGGAGTGTATGCCACCAGGCCTGGACATATTTTTTTTATCTTTGTTTTTTTTTTTTCAAATAAGATTAATATCAATGTGTAGTTATCATGTACTGAAACATGTAGATAGGCTTTTTTTTGGGGGGAGGGGTACTGGGGTTTGAACTCAGGCCCTCACGCTTGCTAGGCAGGTGCTCCACTACTTCAGCCACTCTGCGGGCCCTAGACTGGATTTTTAAAACATACACCAAGTACAGAGAGAGAAATAAAATGATTCAAATTATTTACTTATTTTTCAACTAACTTTGTTTATTATTTGCATTTGTAGCAAATCATTCTTTCACTTAAGGATATTGATATAGGTTTGTAATAACAAATTTTAAACATCTGATTAAAATGGTGTTTTTAGTACACAAACACTGCTTTCTGCCCATGTTCTAGGGTTTGAACTCAGGGTCTTGCTAGTAAAACACTACCCTTGAATCATGTCCCAGTTCTTCTCTTTTTTAACTTTTTTTTAGGTAGGGCCTTTTGCCCAGGCTGACCTATGATCCTCCCATCTCCATCTCCACAGTTGCTGGGATTACAGGCATGTATCACCACACCCAGCCCCACAGACACTGATTCATACAGTAATACAATGTATTCATAGTCTTTCTGTGGCACTGTCAGCAACCACTAAATTTTCATATTCTGAAAATTAATGTGTTAGTATTATACTCTGGTGAGGAAACATATCAAAGATCTGAAGCAATATTGTGATGGTGGAGGCTGAAGCCGTATCTTTCTAAGATAGTTATTAGCATTGTTGAGGGGAGGGGACTTTAGTCCTCATGTTATTTTTTGCAGCCACACCTTCACAGGGAACCTGTGAGGTTTGTGTTATGATTAATGTCCACATCTGCTTCTGAGGACATTTTCCTCCTAGAATCTGGATTGTCAAAATTTGTTCAGAGTCTAATTGAGTTTTTCATAACTACAGATGGAGAAATACTTGAAGTAACCTAAATAGGATGCTATGAATGTATATAGTGTGGCTTATGATCACCCCATTGAACACCCCATTGAAAGGTTTAATCTAAGACTGGCTGCTTCTTCATGAAAATTGTGAAATTCTAAGTACCCTTTCTAGATTTTAGTATCATAAAAATCTGTGCTCCTTGCTTACAGATAATAGAACTTCAGACTGCGCTGGGGGTGGAGACATACATCAAGCAGTAGTGCAACTGCCTGGCAAGCTTGAGGCCCTGGATTTAATCTCTAGTACAAAAAACAAAGCAAGCCAGTGCTAGGCTCTTGGCAAATACTTAGTGTTGCAGGGTGCTGATGGCTCACGCCTGTAATCCTAGCTACTCAGGAGGCAAAGATCAGGAGGATCACAGTTCAAAGCCAGCCTGGGCAAACAGCTCTCAAGACCGTATCTCAAAAAAACCCATCACAGAAAAAGGACTGGTGGAGTGGAGTGGCTCAAGGCATAGACCCTGAGTTCAAACCCCAGAACTGAAAGTAGGTATATATAGACACACACACACACACTCTTTAGTGTTAGCTGCTACTATTGTTGTTACTAGCTCTTGATTGCTTTTTGCATGTTTATGTCATCTCAGGAATAAGAAGAAAACTAAAGGGCAGTTTGTCACATATCATTGCTAAGGTTAGGCACGTACGTATGTGACTTATAAAATATTCTATAGTGGATGGAATTGATGGCACTATTATTTTATCATCATCCTTCCTATCTTACAGATTAGATTCTTTAATTTAGAGGTTAATATGCTTTGGTGGCAGTTGCACTTTTACCAAACAGCAGTGACATGATTTTTGTGCTATACTCTATTGCTTTTCCCAAGATGAAGAGTCTTTACAAAATTCAGGTGAGAACAAGTTCCCCATTTGGATGATCTAGAGATAATGTCACCTGTTTACTTTTCCCAGAAGTTTCAGTGTGCAGTTGGAGGCTGGATGAAGTCTTAACTACCATCAGTATCTTGATAAGGATAAATTTAGGTACAGTCTCAGAGCTCAGCAGTAACTACCCAGGTTAGCCTTTGTCTTTTATTGGGCATGAGAGTAAGTAGAAAAGGTCATGTTCTTGTATTCTTTCATGTACACAGTCTATTAGCTAAGAAAGAGAGAGAAAACATCTCTTGAGCCTCGCCTCCAAATAAAGGAAAGTAAATGTATATGATTCTAGAACAGGAGTAACTTTTTCTCCTTGATCTTGATCACCTTTTCTGGTTTGGGGAAAAAAATTGAGTTTAAAAATTCATCTATCTCACTTTCTTCCTCTTCTCCCAATATCTCCCCATCCTTCTTTTCCCCTCTACCATTTCTCTCTCTGCTTTTATTGAATGACACAAAGATCTCACAACCTCTTGATTTTAGCTGGAAATTGACTCTGGCAAAGTGTGAGCTGAGTAAATTTCTATTTCACCTAGAATGACACTGGGTAAAATAATTAAATGAAAGTCACAAGGACTCCTTTACTGTTCTCTGTTCAGTTTTCTCATTCTTCTGTCCCCAGCTCTCTTGCCAGACTGGCATCTCATCAAAGGATGAATGTAATCTTTAAGAGATGCTGTGTATGGGTCTCTAATCCATCCCAAAAAAAGTTTGCCTTTTTTCCTTTTGTGATTATCTTTCTTCTTTTTTCCTTGCTTTTTCTTAACATCATATTTTAAAACACATAAAAATTTTTCACCCTAAAAGAATATATTTTTAAAGGAATTGGAACCATTTCTTTTGCCATGGAAGGCTCAAGGAACAAGGGAGATGGTGATATATATATATGCCACTAAATTTAAGGATATGAACTTTTTATAAAGAGTCTAGAATTAATTATGACCACTGGGAAAGACTTGCTGTGTCCTGGAATTGTAAGATTATTTTTAATAATAGTTTGGCATATGAATTACATGTTTGACATAGAGACAAGACCAGAATATAAGATCATTTTTTTCAAATAATCTACTTAACTCTATTTAAAATAACACCTTTTTATATACTGAAGTCATAAGTATAGTGTCATAAAATAAGTAATAAGCCCTTGAAACACTAAATACATTTTGTTTAAGATAATTTTCTGGGCTGGGGTGTGGCTCAAGAGTGCCTGCCCTGAAAGCATGAGGCCCTGAGTTCAAACTCCAGTACTGCTCCCACCTGCAACAACAAAAAGCAAGATAATTTTCAAAGATTAAAGAAATGAGAATGGATAATACTGATCTTAGCCTTACACTTTTTCCCAGTAAATTTTGTCCAAAATTTATATAGTAGGGTCAGAGATTCAGAAGTTAGAAGTGCTGGTAGAGTCCCCATTTTATAGAGATGGCTGCATTTGTGCCAAGACAACCTTCTCAATAACGGGAACATGTTTTCGTCTGGCATTTATTACAGGATGTTAAAATTGGCCAGATTAGTGAAGTTAGTGTCTCTTTTAATCAAGGGCATAATATTATATGCTATCTTCAGTGTAAGTAGAATAACTACTGACTTCAGTATAAGAATTTAATTATATATTATTTTATGGATTATATTGGCAAATGTAGCCTATTTTGAATCTGATTCTTGAAGATTTCTTAAATTTTTTCCTGCTCAGTTTTTAAAAATCCATTCTGCTCAAAAGTTTTTCATTCTCTTGGACCAAATTTCTTGAATTGCTACCACATGTACTTCTCTTTCTGCCCTCTTCCATTTTTTTTTAAAAGAAAATCATCTGGTTTATATTATGAAGAACTTTTGGAAGCAGTAAGAAGAGTGTAGAAATAATATTTGTATGTGATTTTATAAACAAGGGTTTATCTTTAGTTGTGTAAGCTCTAAAACATTTTTAAAACAAAACTAGATTGATAGGCCTCTTCCCTCTACCCCCCCCAACAAAAAAATTTTATTTCTATGGTTTTGTTTCTAGAAGTACACTGTATTAGGGGGTGCTAATAGTGGATAGTCAGTTTTTGTTAAACATGCTACATAATCACTATAAGGTACAGAACTCCAAATTGACTATGTCAAAAGGCAGACTTTATTTCTGAGCTATTTGAGCTTTTCTGAACTGGAATAAATGAAGGTTAATTATACCCTATACATAAAAAACAATTTAAAGCAAACTTAGAAACAAAATGAGCTTTTCTAAAATTGTTTTACTTAACTCTCTAGTACTTTCTTTTGTATTTAACTAGTTTTTATTTTTCATAATATTTCTGTGCTTACTGTGAGTTGTTATTATTGATGTAATAATGATTAGACCTCTTCCTGTTTAAGACATCTATGTGTTTAAGACATCTATTGCTTTTTCATTTCCTGACAAGATACACAGGGACTGATATTTTGGTTGAGTTTTGGATGTACAAACACATTGGTCTTATTTTGTATCATTGACAGCCCACAGGATTGGCTGCTATGTGCTGAACTTTCTGTTCTAGACTTTTTGCCAAGTACTTTATGCAAAACTCTGGTTTTAGTGAAACAGGTTTTATTGTTTTTAGTCAGAGGCATATTATAAGCTGTTGTTAGCTGTGCAATGCAAACAGAAGAGTTGGTATATATATCCAGCCATGAAAACAAATCACCACAATCCTGTCTTTGTTCAACTGGTTGTTTTTCCCTCCCATTCCTGTATCTTCAGTTCATGTTGTTTACCGCTGGAGGTCTGAGATGGTGTAATTTTCTTTTCTAGGAACTTGGAATTAGAATTCCTCGACCACTAGGACACGGACCAAGCAGATTCATCCCAGAAAAAGAGGTGTGTTGTTTGTGAAAGTACAGTGAACTGTATGGTTTTAAGAAAAAGATTTCATGGCCCACATCTTGGCATCTGAATAGTTATTGGTCAACGAAATGTTTTACACAGTTCGTGGCATTTAATCATACTTTGGCAGTGAGTTTATGGGATTAGAAACCTGTTGTAGACATGTTGATTTCTAGTATTTCATGATGCTTTCTAAATACCTATATTTAATCAGGTAAACCTGAGACTTGTTTTTGACTAATAATATTCCACCTGTTTATATTTAGATCTTGCCCGTAAACTAAATTACTTGCTCTTGACCATCTTCACAGGCCGGTAGGGACACTCATTTGGACCTTTAATTCTACATAAGTAAAAGCATCTATGTTTTGTTTTCATAAGAATTGATCGCTATTAGTTAATTTTCGTTCTCCTTGAATGAGAGTAGGTTGTAAGAAAAGGCTTTAGTGTCTGTTTGCAAGCTCTGCAAGTTTGATAATCTAAATCTGCTTCTTTGACTGGATTCTGGCCAAGTCTGCAAATAGCCAATCTAGATGGCCTTTAACATTCAGCCTTTGTTGTTTATCCCGCGCAGTATAATGTGACTGTTTATTCTGTTTTGCTCCCAGTTAAATTTAAATTCATAAGCCCTCTTTTAAGCCAAAGTTAATCTGCTTCTAAATAACATAATGCTGTCAGTGCACATTTTTTTCAACACCAATTTGTAATTTATATAACCACAGTTTCCCTCTCATTTTTACAGATTCTCCAAGTGGGGAGTGAAGATACACAAATGCACACTTTATTTGCAGATTCTTTTGCTGCTTTGGGTCGTTTGGATAACATTACATTAGTGATGGTTTTCCACCCACAATATTTAGAAAGTTTCTTAAAAACTCAACACTATCTACTGCAAATGGATGGTCCATTACCTCTACATTATCGGCACTACATTGGAATAATGGTTTGTAAACATTTGGTGAAAAATTCTTTCTGCCTACTTTTATTATTAATTTTTTTATTTTTTTAAGGAAAGTTAATGCTTTAAACACAGGGATAAATACTTACATTCTGATTTGTAATTGGATTCCTGCTAAGTAGCCTGTATTTTTTCCTGTTTTTAAACAAGTATGCTATCTAATGTAACAAAAAATATTATATATATTTATACAATGCTGAGAGCTGTTCCTTTTTAGTGAATAAAGCAGAACACCAGATCTATTTCATTATTATAAATAGTTCACATTGACATAGTGGTAGTGGTGCTAATTTCAGTTTGTAAATAATATTCCATCATTTTATGGTTGGCAACCTAATTGAAGTTTCTCTTTAATCTGAGTTTCTAAAAATTCTGAAGTTCAGATTTTTTTAGAAAGTATTTTGTTCTTGAAATATTTCTTAGTTTTTTTATGGTATATTTGAATTTCTTAATTTCTGTATGAAAGCTGTATTTCTGTGATTCACAGAAAATTTTAAAACATAGGAATCAAAAGCTGTTTTGCATGTTATAAAGATGCTCCAAATTTTAATAGCTATAATTAAATGCATTTTTGTTTTCTCTTCAGGCTGCAGCAAGACATCAGTGTTCCTACTTGGTGAATCTGCATGTAAATGATTTCCTTCATGTCGGTGGGGACCCCAAGTGGCTCAATGGTTTAGAGAATGCACCTCAAAAACTACAGAATTTAGGAGAACTCAACAAAGTATTAGCCCACAGACCTTGGCTTATTACCAAAGAACACATTGAGGTATGTAGTAAATAGTGTGTCTTAGCATCATTTAAACATTTTTTTAAGAGAGAGTTATTGAAAAGTTGCAGAAGGTACACAGAATTCCCACTTTCTTCCCCCACAACTCCCTCCCACAGACACATTGTTCTCCTGTTACTGGCATGTGGGATTGTGTGGGACCATTGTTGAGAGTGATAAACAAACGTTGGTATATAGTCCTATTCACTTAAGTGCATATAGTTCACACTGAGGTTCACTCTCGTATTGTATAGTTTATGGGTTTTGACAAATGCATAATGTCACAATACTACTGTCTAATGTAGACAGTAAATAGCTACTGCCCTTTGCTTCCTCCTGAGCCCCTGCAACTACAACCTTTTTACTTTCTTTATAGTTTTGCGATTTCCAAAATATCATATTGTTGAAATCATATAGTACATAACCTTTTCAGATTGGCTTTCATTTAGCAGTATTCATTTGAGGTTTCTTCCTTGTCTTTTTATAGTTTGGTAGCTCATTTCTTTCTGTTGCTAAATGATACTCCCTTGTATAGATGTACCACAGTTTATCTATTCACCTATTAAAGGGACATCCTGATTACTGCCTGTTTTGGCCAATTACGACTAAAGCTGTTATAAACACTTATGTGTAGGTTTTTTTGGTAGGTAAAAGTTTTCAGCTCATGTAAGTAAATTACTAAGAGAGTGTGTGACTGCTGGGTCATATGATGAGCTTATGTTTAGCTTTCTAAGAACCATGAAACTGTCTTCCAGAGTGCTGTACCAGTTTGCGTTCCCACTGGCCCTGAAGAAGCATTCCTATTGCTCTACATTGTTGCCAGCATTGGTATCAATGATTTAGGTTTTAGCCATTCTGACAGGTGTGAAGTGTCATTTCATATTTTTTAAATGCCATCCTAAATTCATTCCTTCTGGTTCTGGAGTAAAAGATTAACTTTCTCTAAAAAATGTATACCACACAGGAGAAATTCTTGAGAACATTCTTTTTGGTCTTGACTTTCTATTTCATAGAACATTTTAGAAACTATTACATAATAGAAGATATTACCAAGAAGATATAAAATTTGAATATAATTAATAACACCTATCATGAAGGCACATTTACATCAGACTATAAAGTAGATAATGGAGCACAGGGGACCTGGAATAGAATTTGAAGAATTACATGATTTTTGCATAACTTTTAACATAGTTCAGTGACTTAGGAATATTCATTAAGAGTCAAATTGTTTAAGCCACTGCCTTAAAAATTCCTTGAGAAGGCCTGATACATAAAACACAGACATTCCACACAGTAGCTTCCACTTTGAACAAATGTTACACATTTGAAGTAACAGCACCATAATTCATTATCTAACACCTGAAATACAGCAACTGCTTTTAAGCAAAATGCACTTTATTATATTTAAATCAGTATTTTAAAAAATCAAAATAATGTGTCATTAATTTAAGCTGTATTTATCAATATAGTTTCATAAAAATGTAACAAATCGTGGGTTCTTCATGTTTCAAATCATAGCTTTAGACTAGACTTTGTATGGTGACTAATCCTGTTTTCAATAGGTTAAATACTAAGATGAATATATACTTTTACCAGTACATTCCAGTATAAAAATGCTCTTTACTTCTCCCTCCCCACCCTCCTAAGGAGCTTTTAAAAGCTGAAGAGCACAGCTGGTCTCTTGCAGAATTGATACATGCTGTAGTTCTACTCACACACTATCATTCTCTCGCCTCATTCACATTTGGCTGTGGAATCAGTCCAGAAATTCATTGTGATGGTGGCCACACATTCAGACCTCCTTCTGTTAGTAACTACTGTATCTGTGACATTACAAATGGCAATCACAGTGTGGATGAGATGCAGGTCAACTCAGCAGGAAATATTTCGGTAAGTGTCTGTTATTTATTATGGTACTGTAATGAGACTAATCACAATAACTGTTATATTTTCGTTTAACTGCTTAGAAAATCCACCTTGTTATGTTCATTAGGCCCTTGTGCCTACTCGTTCATTAATAATGAACTTATTTATTACTTAACAAGTGCCCATCACTAGTCTAGGAACTAAGGGATATACAAAGTTATAAGCCCCTGTACATTCCTGTAATTTTAGGGTCAAGAGTCAACAGATGCTCCCCCATCAAGAACAGTTAATACTGAATGTCTACAGCAGTCTACAGTGATAAAGGAGCCTGAAAATAGTGTGACCTGGTGGTGGAGACTTCCTAGTGCCAATACATTCTTTTCTTTCTTTTTACAAAAAGAAATGGGCTGGTTTTTTAATTGCTTAGCTTTTATAAGATTTAGTCAGTGTTGATCTGGAAATTTCTGCCTTTAAAATTCTTTTTCATGTTTAACTTTATACGAATGTAGAAGGTGATGGCAGGTTAATATAAATTTGCTAAAATGCTTTCACCTCTGTCCTTCTCTATCTTATATATTCTCAGTTTTGTTATTCCTTTAAAACAGATCAGAGCAGGTTGAGTTTCTATAAGTAATTTTAATTCTTATATACAATGAGTCAAAATTCTCTCTCTATTCATTACTGTAATGATAAGGCAAAGGTTTATTATGCTTCAAAACAGAAATCCCAGAAATAGCAAAACAGCATCATAGTCATTTGAACACACTTTGCACACATTTTTCTCTATTAAATTGCTCCTTTGAGACAGGTTTGGACAGATTGAATTGCCTTTGACTTGTATATTTGACATTGGGCAAGTTATTAAACTTCTCTGAGCCCCTGTTCTTTCATGTCTAAATAAAGGTATAAAACACAAAGTTATTATGAGGTTTAAATGTCTCTAAAGAAGTAAAATGGCCAGTGTGGTGGTGCAGTACATGCCTGTTAATCAGGCTAAGACAGGAGGGTTGTGAGTTTGGGCTACATAGCGAGTTCCAGGCTAGCCTGAGCTATGAGACCCTGTCTTTAAAAAAAAAAAAAATAGTAAGTGAAATGCCTAGTATAGTGCTTGGCATTTATCAAATACTAAATAAGAGGTGACATTTACATGTAGTGAAAGGAATATTTTTTCATTATAAGAAGGAGTGTAATTTTTCCAAGGTTGATCACAGCACTTCTGACAAGTCCCAAGACTTACCAGTTTCATGCCCCATTGAACTATCTGGATTCTTGCTGTAGGCCTGCAAATGACCACTTATAATTTATCAGAGCTTGGAGATTATGAGAGGATCCAAGAGAGTGTATCAGTTGCTAGGCTATTGAGAGTTGGATTCTAGTTTTTGGTTGTTTTTTTGTTTTGTTTTGATGGTTCTCAGGACTTTGGGCTTGCTAGGCAGGTGCTCTACCACTTGAGCCTTGCCTGCAACCAAAAAGTTGGGTTCTTTTCCTTTCTACCAATGATTTAGTATAAGGCTAAAGAAAAATTTCTGCTTTTCTTAATATAAATAGTAGATGATAAAAGTGAAAATAGGATTTTTTATTTTTCTAGTAAGTTGGATCCTTTGTAAAGCTCATACTGATAGCACTTGACAGCTGATACAGCCTGTTCTTTAGTATATGTCAGATATCACACCCAGTTCTTCAGAAATCAGAGAATTTGCATATACAGTGTTAACAGTTTAATATTAAAATGAAATGCAGTTGAGCATGTTAGTGCATGCCAATAATCCCAGCACTTGGGAGGCTGAGGCAGGAGGATCGCAAGTTCAAGGTCAGCCTAGGTTACATAGTGACTTGAAGGCCAGCCTGTGCTTCATAGTGGGACTCTGTCTCAAAAAATAATAATGATAATAATAACTTTTTTTAAACTGCTAACAACTTTAGATTAGGTAAGGAGCAAAAGAAATATGCTTTGTGTTTCCCTTTTATTTCAGTATAATTTGTCAAGAATTATCTTTCCTTAGAATACTTAAAATTTAGGCTCTTTATCTGAGATGAACAGAATAAATTAATAAAGAGTAATGTGAGTTGAGAGAGGTCTTGAGATGTGTGTGTGTGTTTGTATATATAAATATATGTCTTTTGTTTTGTTTTGGCAGTGCTGGGGTTTGTAGTCAGTGCCTGGCACTTGCTGGACAAGCACTGTACCACTTGAGCCACGCCCCCAGCCCTGTTTTAGTTTTAAAACCTCGAATCATTCTTTTCAGTATCCTAATCTTTTTTTTTTCTTTTCTTTTCTTTTTTGGCCCTTTTTTGATGTGGTTACTGACACTATTTTAGGATTGACTGTGGAAATGTATGTACCAGGAGAACCTTTGGTTTTATCATAGAAACACTTAACATCATAGAATTAGTAGAGAAAGGGCTCTGGAAAAATCTGGGAATAGGAATCGTACTAGAAAAATAAAAAATCCTATTTTCACTTTTATCTTTCTACTATTTATATTAAGAAAAGTAGTAATTTTTGCATAACTGAATCATATGAAAACATAAGGCACAAGTAATTAGATTATCTCTTAATATATCATTCTGACAACAGATACTCAAGAAACATTTGTTATAGTATGACTATTACTCATGTACTAGGGCTGGTGGAGTGACTGAAGTGGCAGAGCGCCTGCCTAGCAAGTGTATGGCCCCACATTCAAACTCCAGTATCACCTAAAAAAAGATGTATCATGTACTTTGCTGAGGTTCTGGATATATGCCAGTAAATTAAATAGTTCCCTCACCCTTGGGGTATGATACTGGATCAGCATCATAAGAGCAACAATTACAAGTTGTGATTGGCACTCTGAAGGAAAGAACATGGTGCTTTGTGAGATTAATTAAGAGATTGGATGCGGGATGTATGAGGTTAGAAGAAGCATGTAAGGTGACACCTGAAGGACCAGTAAGTGGAGGTGGAAGCCAGGAAAGGAGGAAAATAGGAGGCCTTAAGAATTCCTAGTGAAAGAAATGAAATTTATAGAGAGGGAAACATGAATTTTTATATTTGAACTTTTGAGACTTTAAGACTTCTCAAATATCTATTTTATAAAATATAAATATATGCATATTCCATTGCTTTGATCCAGCTTTTAGAGTAATGATGCAGCAGGGTATAGAGTATAAATCATTTGTCTACTTGGCTATTTCCCCAACTGTTGTCAAGACCTGTCACTGTAGATGTGACACTGCTATAGTCATCCCAGCAAATGACTGCTCCTAGTCTTATTCACAGAGGTCAGGTGACCAACTCCAGCCATGTGAGAACATGGTTCATTTTTAGTTAGTAAATTCTATAAGTAGAACAATTACCGTTTTAAAGATGATAGACATGTTGACAATATGTGCAGTGTACAAAACCACTTGTACTTTGTGTATCTTATTTAACTGATTGAGCAAGTAGAAGTTAACTTAAATATCAGTTCTGTTTTAAATCAACAAGTACTCTTAAAGTTTAATGTTTAAAATGTGAATAGTAATTATTATTAATTTTATAGGTTAAAAGCATAAGAATGTTAAAATCACTTTTATATTTTAAAATCTGAATGTATACCCAGTAGGCGAAAATAATTTTACTTAATTCATGTACATTAAAATTATAAAAAACTATTTTTACTTTATTCAGGTAAGATACAAATTCTTATGAGACAGACAATAAAATTCATTAATTCTTTGTCTGCCAAATGTAACATTGTGTTCTCTCTTCAGGTAAGTGATTCCTTCTTTGAGGTCGAAGCCCTCATGGAAAAGATGAGGCAGTTACAAGAATGTCGAGATGAAGAGGAGGCAAGTCAGGAAGAGATGGCTTCACGTTTTGAAATAGAAAAAAGAGAAAGCATGTTTGTCTTCTCTTCAGGTAATAGCAGTCTGTACATAGTCAATATAATTCTATTGCAAACCAAACTTTTTTAATTTAGAGAATTTTGGTAAGCTTTAAAACATCAATTCAAATATGTCTTTCCTTTTAGTAAGGCTATTGCATAGGTATTCCTACTTACAAAAAACTTAAAGCAGGCAACTGAAAAGGGTTATAAGTGAAAATGGCACTAGACTATGGGGTGGGGAGCCTTTGATTTGGATTCTGGTATTAAAATAACTGCTAATAAGCTTTGGGAACATAAGTAAGCCACTTAACATGTGAATGCCTTCTTATTTTCTCTTCTTTAATTTGAAGAAATTGAGTTCATAAAGCCCCAAGGGTGCCTGTAGTTTAAAATTCTATGATTTGTGAGAACAGCTATTTATTATCAACAGCTTTATTTATGTGCATCCTATTTTTTTTGATGGGACTGGGTTTGAATTCGGCTTTGCATTTGCATGTCAGGCACTCTATTACTTGAGCCACACCTCCAGTCCATTTTTGGTCTGGTTATTTTGGAAATGGGGTCTCATGAACTATTTCCCTGGGCTGGCCTTGAACCAAAATCCCCCTAATCTCAGCCTCCAAAGTAGCTCAGGTTACAAACATGAGCCACTGGTGCCCAGTTTATGTTTAGCCTTTATCTATATGCAATCTATAGGACTTAATGTATAAACTAGGGAATTCAAAAGGAAAAAAGTTAATAAACTGCCTTCAAATATATTTTGCCAGTAATAGAGTAGAAGAAAGAGTGTAGACTGGTGTTGTGGCTCAAGTGGTAGAGCACCTGCCTAGTAAGGTCAAGGCCATGAGTTCAACACCCAGTACTGCAAATGATAATTATAATAATTTTAAAACAAATGCATCAAGTTCCTTAAGAGCAAAGAAAAAAATTAGAATTACATAAATGGAGGGTGGGTGTTAATTTGTTTTTCAAGAGAAGAGTTGTCATAAAATACTGTATTTACTTAAAACTACAATCTCATCAAACTCCTGAGTATGATAATCCAAAAAGGCTCATGGAAAGTACAGGAAATATTATGAAAATGTCAACTCACAAGACCTCTTTCTGTCATTATATTACACATTAAAGAGCAGTAATATTCAACAAAAATAAGTCAAAAGTGCTAAATATTGGAGCATAATTGGTTTAAGTAGTTGTTACTATCACTCAAAAGATTATCCAAGTGAGTGTTCATACTTTGAGCCCATACTTTTTAAGAGTCTAAAATCTAAAATTGGAATGGGGACACAGAGAAGAAGAGACGGGCTTATCAAAAAGGGACTGAGAGACACAGAATTCAACTATGAGTACATTTTAGAACAGAGACTCTCCATTACTACATTCTACTTGCTGACAGACTACTTCTTTATATTGCTTTAAACCCTTCTGGGGGTTGATATTAGTAATTCAGTGTCAAAGAATAGATTATCTTATTTTTACTTATTAGGGGTAAAATGATTTTTAACTAGTATCCTGATTTTGAAAAGCTTTCAGTGACCTTTTTAAAAAATATTTCAGATGACGAAGAAGTTACACCAGCAAGAGATGTATCTCGTCACTTTGAAGATACTAGTTATGGCTATAAGGATTTCTCTAGGCATGGGATGCACGTTCCAACGTTTCGTGTCCAGGTAAAATTACAACTTGTGTGCACATGATTGATTAGAAATATCTCCATCTGACTTATAAGAGCCACCTAGATTTGAGAACTGTGCCAAGTGCTTTGCAAGCAACATCTAAGGAACAACAGCTGTACTAGAATAAAAGTTAAGAATAATAAATTATTAAATATTTATCTATTCAGTATTTTTGTAAGACTGCTTTCAATTCATCAGTAGAATCATACTGTAGTTTAAATGTATGTCTTAAATTTATTGCTTGGATTTTAATTTAGATAGGTAAATAATTCAAATTAATTGATCCTCCCAACTTTTCCAATTATTGCTAGGAGTCAGGGTACAAATAACTTTTTACCAAAATTATGAAAATAGTCAAACTGCACAGTTTTGTTTCTTTGCCCAGAAAACTAAGATTCTTTTTAAAGAATTCAGGCACAAGGAAGAGTTAAACTGTGTCACAGAAATATAGATTAGAAATTGAAGAAATCATTGTGGCCTGGAAATTATATGGAAGGAGATGAGAATTTGAATGGTTTGGATGGTTAAAAAACAAAGGTCAGCCAAGGGTGTCTCTCTCAGTGGTAGAGCACCTGCCTATAATGCACAGCCATTGGGTTCAGTCCCCAGCACTGTTGAAAAAAGAAGGGGGATAGCACACTGTAAGCAAAGGAGAGCAGGAAATAATTAGGCTTTTAAGTAGAGAGTGAGGAAAGGGATCATAAAAAGACAAGCTGCTGAGAGTTGCAAGGATTCCTACTTCTGTTAGTGGGATAGTTTAAAATCAGTCAAATGTGCCTTAAATACCTTAAAAGCATTTTGCAGTAGATTAAATTATGGTTGTAGGTTTTGACCAGAGTGATGGCATAATGTCAAAGAGGTGCTTTAGGAAAAAATAAATATGGGAGTAACAAAGAAGTAGAAAGAAAGGAGGCAAGGAGATTTTATGTAGAAAAATGAATTAGGCGACTCAGTTAATAAGGCTGAAAGATATTTAGGGGATAGGAAGAGAAAGAATGAGTGATGGATATGTTGACTTAGAAATTCACTTTTTGGGGTGGTTTTTTGTTGTTTGGTTGGTTTTTGGTTTGATTTTGTTGGAAACAGTTGGTATTTAGCCAGGCTGGCCTTGAACTCTCAATCCTCCTGCCTCAGCTTCCAGAGAGCTGAGATTACAGGCATGAGTCACCATGAGCCATGATACCTGATTTAGAAATCCACAAAATTTGAGGGCTAGTTGAAGGCTGCAGTGAGGAAAAATGAGAATAATGGCAACCTGAGTTGCCTCTAGATGCTGAGTGAAAGAAAGCTGAAAATCAGAGTGGCCTGTGTATAAGGGGATTGGTTCTTATGCAAAACATAACCTTTTGCATGTTGCAATATGCAAATTGAAAATGTCAGATTGGAGTACAGGTGAAGCTAGGAGCTAAGGATGAACACAGTGGATTTCCCTGCCAGTGATCTTACCATACTATAGAGCTGTGGACATTGGCCACACTTTACTTATTTGTATCTGTTCTGTTCCCTATCTTTAGGACTATTGCTGGGAAGACCATGGTTATTCTTTGGTAAATCGCCTTTATCCAGATGTGGGACAGTTGATTGATGAGAAATTTCACATTGCTTACAATCTTACTTACAATACAATGGCAATGCACAAAGATGTCGATACCTCAATGCTTAGGCGGGCTATTTGGAACTATATTCACTGCATGTTTGGAATACGGTTAGTCTGTTTCTTATGTTTAAAATGGATTTTTCCTCTAGGCTCAATTATTCAGGTGCTTGGAACACATACAGGGGCATATGTATATATTCTCATGACCATCTCCTCTCCCAATAGCGTACTTTTATGCTTCATAGAACCACTTCATTGCAGCCTAGGGTTTTTTTCCTCTGTCCAAGCTAAGGAGAAGGGTGGAGAGGGGATAGAGTTAGGGACATTGACAAGAGTTAAATGACATCTGCCTCCAAGAAAGGGAAGGGCAAGCAAGCTGATCCCAGAACATAGTTTAAAACTGTCACCGAACATTTCTGTATCTTTTCTCTTTGTGTTATCTTCTATTTCCTGACACACTCATTTCTACCTTCTTGGAACTTACTCCTTTTATTTTGGCTTTGTGGCTGCTGTCAAGCTCCTTCTGAAGAGTATTTAATCCAGTAATATTTCATCATAATGGAAAATTCACGATCTGCTTGCTATTAGGTTTTTAGCACATTATGCTATATAAAAGATGTTGTTGTTAATACACCACCTTCACACATATGTACACAGACTCCAGCAGTATTGCTTTCTGGTTATCTTAGCTGTAAACTCAGCTGTCTTTTGCTTTTCAGTTTTATCTGTGAGTCTGGTCAAACTTACAAGACTTCTTTAATTTACTCTAAATTGCTTGGGCCTTTAAGGCACATCTGACCGGTTTTAAACTAATTTCCACTAATCAGTAGCCAGACTGTTTATTGACTTTAGCCTCTTGGATGGTTGTAGGACCAGCTTTGCCAAGAGCTTTTTCCCTTTTACTCTGAAAACTCAAGAGGCAACTTCAGTGCCTAGGTGATCTGTAACCCATCACCTAGTGGTGCATGCATCTGTCTTGTCTTAAAGCAAGAAACTCTGGCTGATGGAGTGGCTAGAGTGGTAGAGCACCTACCTAGCAAGCGTGAGGCCCTGAGTTCAAACTCCAGGACCTCCAAAAATATAAAGCAGTACATCCTCTACAAAGTGTATATGCTGTGAAACCAGGAGTATACCAGCTCTTGCTCTATCCACCCCCCCTTTTTTTTTCTCATCTGACCCCAAAAACCCCTTTTATACAAGTGAGTTACAATTTTATAACATACAATAGTACCAATAATAAATATAATTGTTTAATTTCTTAATTTCAGAATTTCTCATACTCTGTTTTCAGAGTTGGTTCTTCATAGTGCAGTTGTTTATTCATGATTATAAACATACACTGTTGTTTGATACCCAGTGGTACAGTGTTAGTATTTTCAGCTTTCAGGAATGATATCCTGGGCATTAGAAAATTTTCTGTTCTTCTCCTAAAGTTCTCTCCTTTTTACCTTTATACTCACCACCACCCCCAGTTAAACTTGATAAAGCTGTATCATTTTAGGGAACAGCTTCCTAAACAAAGAGGGAAAAAGAATATAGCATTTACTATTGGTATATACTTTTGTAAGAAGAAAACAGATTATATACTGAAAATGTTGTTAATTCTCACTATGTCTTTTAACAGATATGATGACTATGACTATGGTGAAATTAACCAGCTATTGGATCGTAGCTTTAAAGTTTATATCAAAACTGTTGTTTGCACTCCTGAAAAGGTTACCAAAAGAATGTATGATAGCTTCTGGAGGCAGTTTCAGCACTCTGAGAAGGTATGTGCCTATTATGGCTGTTTACTGTAACTCAGCAGTGATCCTTATCCTCCTTCACATAACCTAGTAGCTCTCAAACCCTCTCCATCAACTCTATATCCCCCCCAAAAAAAAAAATTCCAGGTGACAGAACATTCATATAATGTCAGAGTATAAAAGAAGACAGAGACAAATGGGCTGTCCCATCCTCAGAAGTGCTGGCATAAATATCATGACTTAGGAGAAAGAAGACTATTTTACATGAGTGGATTTTAATTGTGTATAGATAGAAATGTCTGTTCTCTTTAAAGCATCTTTATAAAAATTGATGATTTGGCAGGGGATTCTGGAAAAGCAGTGTCTACATTTTCTGAACTATAACAAATGTCAAGAAGAGATGTGATGTACTATAAATGAAAGATCAAAACATCTACCCAAAAAGAAATCAGATAGCTTTTATTCTGAAAAGTTAATTTTCTATTCAGCAAACCCAAGACTTCTAAGTTATTTGGTGGTACATAATGTATAGTCAGCCCTCCATATTTGTGGGTTGTGCATCTGTGAATTCAGCCAACTATGGATCAAAAATATTCAAAAATATTTAATCTTTACTGAATATGTGCAGATTTTTTCTTGTCATTATTCCCTAAGCAATACACTGTAACAACTATTTATATAGCGTTTACATTGTATTATAAGTAATGTAGAGATTATTTCCATTACATGAGGATGTGCATTGGTCATATGAAAATACTGTCCTGTTTTATATAAGGAACTGGAGCTTCTAAATAATAGAGTCCTGGAACCAGTCACCTGCAGAGGTCAAGGGTCAACTAACTGCACTTATTTTGGTGTTTATTAAATGCACTGAAAAACTGTGTTTATAACCCTCCCTTACATGATGTTGTATTTTATATTCAGGTTCATGTTAATCTGCTTCTTATAGAAGCTAGGATGCAAGCAGAACTCCTCTATGCTCTGAGAGCCATTACCCGCTATATGACCTGATGCCTTTCCTCCAATAAAGATGATTCTGGAATGATCAGATACAGTCTACAAGGGGAAGGTACTGAGCCCCAGGACCAATGGTAGATAAAAGAATTCAGAAACCCATTGTGCCATGATTCCTTTAGTTTCTGCTATTTTACTGTGGAAATACCACTGCTGGCACAAGCAGTGAATGCTTGGCAGCTTCGAGTGTAGAGCTGTGAAGAAGGGCTGCTGTTCACAGTATTTTGCTTTTTGACAGTACAAAATGCTGTATAATTGTTTTAATACAGCAACTAGCAAATCTCCAAATTCTGTTGCTTTTATGTTAAATAAGATAACAAGAATTGGAGCATGCAAAGAATGGGACTTTGGAATGACTAAGATTATGCATAAAGAATTTTAGAAGATCCCGGTGCTGCTATTCCAGCTGGTGGAATTGAATAGATGGCTGTTCCAGTTAAGCTATTAGTGATTAAAGTGAATACTGCTACTATCTGAGCCTACATATATAACTTGTGTGGTTTCAAATTAAACTTGCACACCTGTTCTTTTTTTGCATCTACAAAAGCATAGAATTATTACTCACAGCTCAGCAAAGACCATTTTGATGGTAACTGATCATTTCTTTCATTATAGTTTTTTAATTCAGAGTTATACAGTGTCATTCTTAAAAGATTTTCTTCAAAAAGCAATCTTAAATGAAACTGTGTGAATTACAAGAAAGACTGGCTGTCTTCTGATATGCTGTTTCACAAGATTCTCTGACACTGGAGGGCAGCTTCTTGTGCAGTATTTTTGTTTCCAGCACCGAAGTTGTGGGAAATACTGCTGTAGACTGCCGCGCAGTCCCAGGTGCATTCTGTTCCCGTGAACCTGCCCACCTCATGGGCCTTAAACAGTAAAGCTGGAAAATATTCTTAGTAAGGCCATCAAATTTGATTTACAAAAATGTTAACTTTGAAATACAAACAGTTTTGAAAAATGTATTAAGAACTTTGTATTCTGGAAGCGTGAATTGCTTTTGAAGTCTGTCAGTATTACTGGTGTTTTTCAATAAAGAATAATTTTCTCCAATTTTATTTGCTGTCTCAATCTCTTAATAAGTCATAGTTTTACAATTAGTAACAATGCTGAGTTTCAGTTTACTTTCAGAAGCCAAGTCAAGTCACAGAAATATGACTTATTAGATGGCAAAAGTCTTGAAGCCATTTTGAAGATACAAGAAGAGTGGACCTTTTTAGGATCTTGTCTAAGACCATTTGTATCTTGAAAATGATTGGTATCATCCTGTGCCTGGTCCAAACCTATTACTCATCAGAGTATTCATTAAGCTCCAAATTTACAGGGTGAAAGTAGGGGGTGGGAAAATACAATTTTGAATACAGGTAGGTGGTACCTGCCTCAAGGATATTGTATTAGCCTATTTTCTGTTGGTATAGCAGAACACATAAGACTGGATCATTTATAAAGAAAAGTGGTTTATTTTAACTTATGGTTCTGGTAGCTGGAGAAGGACCAGGATTGGACAGCCACAACTGGTAAGGATCACGTGCTGCTTCAACTCATGGTAGAAAAACAGAACGGGAGGCAGGCACCTATGAGAGAAAAGGGGGCCAAACTCCTGCAATAGCTAACCCATTCCTGTAATGAAGTAATACAATCATAGGGCTCTACCCCCATGAAACACCTCCTACTAGGCCCCACCTCCCAACACTGAAAACACATGAACTTTTGAGGGACAAATGCAAACTATAGTAGATCTCTATACCTTTGAAAGAAGATAAAACTCTCACCTTAGAAATTATCTTCAGTATTTAAAAAATGTGTGGCTTTTGGTTAGCTCAGTGATACATATGTGACCTAACCCACTGAACTTGCATCATGCCTTTGCCATCTTCTGTTTTCTCCTGTTATGTCACCATAGCAATATAAGTGAATCCAACAAGGAAGATTATATTGGATATAGTTAAAATTTTACTCATTCTCCTGTTCTTTGTTATTTACTTTTTTTTTTTTTTTCTGGTACTGGGGCTTGAACTCAGGACCTACACCTTGAGCCACTCCACCAGACCTTTTTTGTGATGGGTTTTTTTGAGATAAGGTCTCAGGAACTATTTGCCCAGGGCTGGCTTCCAACTGTGATCCTCTTGATCTCTGCCTCCTGAGAGCTAGGATTACAGGTATGAGCCACCAGTGTCCAGCTTGTTATTTACTCTTTATCTTGAAAATACAAAATTTCTGCTAGAGGTTCTGATTAGCAGAAGTATCACAAAACAGGCTCAACTAGAATGTGTTAACTTTGTTGAAGCTTATAATCACCTAGAAATATATTTATTGAGTAAAATATGTTTGTATCTAAAGTAATAAAAAAATACATGTGAGGCAAGGATATGGGGAAATGGAGCCCTTATACACTGCTAGTGAGATTATAAATTAATCTGTCCACTATGGAAATCAGTAGTTTGGGAGTCCCTAAAAAAAGAATTCCTGTATGATCCAACTGTATCACTCCAGAGTATATACCCAAAGGAAACTAAGTCAGCATGCATTAGAGATACCTGCTTATCCATGTTTACTGCAGCACTATTCACAGTAGCCAAATTATAGCCAGCATAGGTGTCCACCAAGATGAATGAATAAAGAAAATGTGAGATACACACACAGTGGAGTTTTATTTAGCCTTAATGAATAAAATTATACAATTTGCAGGAAAATGGAACTGGAGGTCATCATGTTAAGCAAAATAAGTCAGACTCAGGTAAATATCACTTATTTTCTCTCATGTGGAATCTAGATTTAAAAAAAAAAGACATGCAAGTAGAAGGGAGACTTTGGGAGGAGGAAGGGGACCAGTAGGAGGGATACAGGTAGCGGTGGGAACAGGAGACAGTAATGGGAGGAGTGAATGTAATCAAAGTACATTATATACATGTATGAAAATGTCATAAATCCATTAAAATGTACAGAAGAAAAATGCATGTAATAGAAAGTTGCTTCCAATTCAACAGGTGCTTCCTGTTACTCAGAATGTTTTCTATAAATACACAAGATTTCTAATATTACTATGTAATTTCTAAAACAGATAGTTTCCAGAATAATTGGGGAAAGTAGTATACCCTAAGGTGTGCCAAAACCATCCTCTACCAGAGGAAATATTTTCCTAATAATCATGGAGAGATTTCTAGTTGAGGTTCCAGGATTCAATTTTTTTAATCTGAGTTTTGGTAAAATTTGAGGACTTTTTTTTATTAAGGTAAACTTAATAAGTATCTCACACTGTAAGTATGGACTAAATCCAAACATTACTATGTTATTGTGAACATTACTATGTTCACAATTACTTAGGTTTAACTTCATATATAAGGTTGTATTAAAAAAAAAAAGGCCAATTCTTCTAGTAGTTTAGCTGCTCTCAGTTTTGAATCAGATCATGTACAGATGATAAATCTTGTTGGAAAACATATTTTCCATAAAGATTCAACTCCATAAAGTTTATTAGTATATGTGTAAGTATGTGTGAGAAACAAGGGAGCAAAATGCAGGCAGATGGAGAGTAATGTCAGCAAGATGGTGGATAAAGAGCTCCATGTCTTCACTCTCCCACAGAGACACTAAAGTTAATATGTAGACCAAAAAACTTTGCAAGAACTCTAGAAGGCAGTTGGGAAACTGCAGCACACAGGCAAATGCAAAGCCATGAGGCTGCTACACCAAAAATAGGGAAATTGGTGGCATTTTTCATACCTCTGCCCCTTCCCAGCATAGCATGGTATGGTTGACAGGAAATCTCCCAATTCCTAGCTCCTCCTCCAGGAAAGAAAAAAAGGTGAAACTGCTGTCCAGTGTTCTGACTTGGTGTGGGGCTACCTGAGGGACTGGCTTCTGTCTCACCTGACCCGGAGCACTGATACTAATTGGAGGCCAGTGAAAACAGGGAGCATGTAGCTCTGCAGGCAGGCAATGAGAGAGCAATAGGGTACAGATGACAGGAACACAAGCACAGGGGAGCTTCTGAGGAAAATACAGGCAGTTAAAGCAGCTACACACACACTGGGCATAAGCCCAGAGAAGACACATCCACAGAAGAGGTACTAGAACCTCCACCCAAGCTGATGACTCTCTAAAGAATGGAAGAGGTAACTATTTAATCACATGCCCCAGTCTCAACAAAAGATCACAAGCTTACAAAGAAATCAGGAATCATGGTTCAAAGAAACAAATCTCCAGAAAGTAGCTCTAAAGAAACACAGATCTCACAAGGTTCACACCAGTAATCCTGGTTAGGAGGTTGAGACTGGGAGGATTATGGTTCAAGACCAGCCTAGGCAAATAGTTTGTGAGACTCCATTTCCAAAATAACCAGAGTAAAATGGACTGTAGCACTGGCTCAGGCAGTAGAGCACCTGCTCTGCAAACACAAAGCCCTGTGTTCAAACCTCAGTCCAGTCAAAAAGAAGAAGAAGAAGAAAAGCAATGCAGATCTCTGAATTACCTGCCAAGGAATTTAAAACAATTTATCTAAAAGATGATCAGTAGGCTAAAAGAGAAGAGATAAACAACCAAATGAAACCAGGAAAATAATGCATGAACAAAATAAGAATGTCAGCAAAGAGATAAACTATAACATAGAAACAAATTCTAGAGCTGAAAAATATAACTGAATGAAAATTTATACCAGACATGGTGGTACACAACTGTAATCCCAGCACTTGGGAGGCTGAGGCAGGAAGGAAGGAAAGAAATGAGGGAAGAAGAGAGAGGAAAGGAGGGAAAGAAAACTCACAAGAGGGGTTAATGGCAGAATTCATCAGGTAGACAAAAAGAATCAATGAACATAGAAGAGGTCATGTGGATATGGAATCAGGAACAAAAAGAATAATGAAAAGTAAAGAAAGTTTAAGGGAATACCATCAGACCAATATACATGTGGGAAGTCTTAAAAGGTGAAGAGAGAGAGGGACAGAGAACTTACCTAAAGAAGTAATATCCATTCTGGTTTTTTAAAAAATAAATTATTCTGCTTGCTGTATTGTAATTATTTACTTAATCTATCTCTCCCACTAGCCTGTGAGAATTTGCTATCCTGTTGGGTATGGGATGAAGTGGGGTTTTTTTGTTGCTTTGATTTTTTCAGTGCTGGGGATTGAACACAATCCCCGCAGTCTTGCTTATGCACACTAAGCAAGCACTCTACCACTGAGCTACATCCCCAGCCTCTATTTATTGCTTAAACACTACAAACACACCAAAATTGAGGAAAGAAATGGATGTACTAATTCAAGAAGCTCAAAGAGCTACAAATAAGATAAAGCCAGAGACCAATACTAAGACATAAATAAACTATTGAAAGTCAAAAACAGAGAATCCTGAAAGCAGCAAGAGAAAAGCAACTCATCACTTACAAGCAGCACTGTAAGATCACCAGATTTCTCAGCAGAAATCTTGCAGGACAAAATGCAGAGAGAAAATATTTTCAAAATGCTAGAAGGAAAAAAAAAAAAAAAACCCTGTTAACCAAGAATGCAACATCCAGGAAAGCAGTATTTCAAAAATGAAGGAAAAATTAGGACTTCCATTGCTGAGGGACTTCATTACCATTAGACTAGCCTACAAGAAATGCCAAAACAGAATCCTGTGTTAAAGAAAAAGAATACTAGAGAGCAATGTGAGGCCATTTGAAAACAAAGTTCTCCAATGAAGATCAATATGTGGACAAGTGCAGAAATGTGTATTATTGTACACATTTGATAATGATGTTCACTTAATTCTTGTATAGAATTTAAATGACAGAAGTATGAAAGAGTATTAATCTGAATTAATGGGTACACAGTACATAAAGATATAATATGTAACTTAAGCAGGCAGTGCTGTAAAGGAGTTTTTATATGTGGTAAAAATTAAGTTGTTACCTGTTTAAAATGAATTGTTACACAGCTCAAACAAAATATTGAATGAAACATTTATCTGTATCCATCAATGTCTTTTTCTACATATAAAATACATATGTATAAGTATGTATATATACAATGTGTATTTATGGGACATATTTTAGTTATTAACAAGTATACTTCTTTCTAGT